AAGAAGAAGAAGAGCAAGAACAACAACCGCAGAAGCTGTAAGAACAAAAGAAACAGCAACAACCGATGGAACAACTACGACAGGTACAATACCAGCAACGGCTGTGCTATTCCAACACGGACAGAGCGGGTGGGACAAAATACCCGTGATGGTGAGGGTGATGATGGTGATGAGGGTGAGGGTTATGAAGATCATGAAGGCAACCATAGTCTTGAAACCAATGACAATGATGCTGACTGCTCAGTGATTGTCACTTCGATGGCGACGGCGTGGGATCCACCCCGACAATCTACATCGGCGAAGCAAAACACTATATGCCCATATCGTTTAGGCAAGCAGCGTGGTGAGAGCTGTAGGAACCGCGCATCTTGTAGTGGCCCCCCATTTTGTGCGAGTGGCCACTATGATGGTAGGAGTAGTGGCCACCGTGCTCGTAGTGCGAGGATCCACCATGGTGGTATGAGCCCCCGGCGGTGTACGAAGAGCTGCCATGGTAGCCACCATGATGGTAAGAGCCCGAGTCAGATGGCGTATAAGAAGAGCCAGCGTGATGGTAGGTGTAGGAGGAATCACCATCGTGGTATGAGCCCCCGAGGGTGTATGACGAGCTGCCATGGTAGCCACCGTGATGGTAGGAGCCCGCATACGCTGGCTTATAACCAGCGTAGGTGTAGGAGGAATCACCATCGCCGTATGAGCCCCCGAAAATGTAGCCACCGTGATGGTAGGAGCCGGCATAAGCTGGCTTATACCCATGATGGTAGGTGTACGAGGAACCACCATCGCTATCGGAGTCTCCCAGGGTGTAAGCATGAGAGGAGCCACCACCGTGGAAAGAGCCTCCCTGGTGGTAGTAGGACCCACCATCATAGTCGGAGCCTCCGTGGTAGTACGAGCCGCCCTGGTAGGAGGATCCAAAGCTTCCGGAGTGCGAAGAGCCTCCAGAATGGGACCTTGCCCTGCCGACATAGCACTGGGCCTTAGTCGGGCAATACTAGCCAACTTAGGGCTTGAAGGGCTGTAAGAAAGCTGCCAATAAAGCCTGAAACTCTCCTCTCCCTCTCTCTCTCTCTC